AATGAAATAAAATTCTAACAATTCTAACTTTAATTCGTACTAACAATTATTTTGTGTACTAACAATCAAAGTATTATATAAAATGTACTAATTTGTACTAAAATGTACTAACAATTCGAACTAAGTAGATATAAATCGTAATATGTATGTATTTGGTAGATATAAGTAGATAATAAGTAGAGATTAAGTAGATAACAAATATAAGTAATATAATATATGTATTTATAAATAGATAATTAATATATAACTATATAAGTAGATAAGAAATATAAGTAATATAATATATGTATTTATAAGTAGATAAATAATACTACGTATAAGTACATATACAATACAAAGTATATTGGAGAATAAGAGAATTTGAGAAGATGAAGATAATTAGAGAGTAGAGAGTAGAATTTAGGAAGAGTTGGAGAAGAGAAATGGAAAAATGTTTAAGATTAGGAGTATTTATAGTTTTTTTTACCCCACCCCCACCCTCCTTCCACACCCCAAAGAGCCCGGACCCCCTGCCAGCCCACCCACCCGGTAGTCCCCAGCCCACCCCAACGGCTCTCTAATTGGCCCAATCAATTTTTTTTTAAAATAGAGCCGTTGTGACCCGGACCCGGGCCCGACCAGGCCGGGCCGGGTCACCTTTTGCCGGAACCGAGCCCGCCCCCGCTTCTCCCACCGGTTCGGGTCTACACCCGGTCTCGGGCCCGCACAGTAGCGGGTTGAACTGGGTCACGGGCCGGGTGGCCCGACCCGAATCCACCCCTAATTGCATGATGATATATATGTTTTTACTGGTTACTACTAGTAATTGACATTTTTTATGTAACTTACAGTTTTTATATTGATAGAACAAATAAATACTCTTTTCAACTATATTACATACAATGTATGTATTTATGATTTTTTTCAATTTAGTCACAAACAATGAAAATTAGAAATATATATATATATATATATATATATATATATATATATATATATAGAGAGAGAGAGAGAGAGAGAGAGAGAGAGAGAGTCATTCTCCTGTCCAGCACCTTTCTGTCCGAACGCCGTCCAAACATCACCGTTCGGGGCAGTTTCTGGTAGAATTTTTTGATGAAATTTTTGAGCATGTTCCTCATCAAGTCTAATTATTCATGCCAAATTTCAGCTTAAATTTCGATCGGGAAGACAGACAAATTATACATAGAAAAGCGCAGTTAATTTCAACAAATTATTTGACTTCCTTCTCGATCTAATTTTAAGCTGAAATTTGGTATGGATAAACTATACTTGATGAGGAACATGCTCAAAAAAAATCATCAAAAAGTTCCATCGGCAACCTCCCCGAACGGCGGTGTTCGGACGGCGTTCGGACGGAAAGCTGATGGACCTCAGAATCTCTCTGTCTCTCTCTTTCTATATATACACACACACACACTTTTATCTCTCTTGCATAGTCATATAATTCAAGACATATTTATTTCTTCTAACATGCTTGCCTTTTTATGTAATATGTTTGATTCCTCCAACTATTGTATCATTTTGAATCATATCACAATTGTTTTTAAAAACCCGAGAAAATTGAAATTGAACAGAAACAAACTGAACTAATCAAATTGTGTTTTTAAGTTTCGAAATGTAAATTTGAATCGAAACTGGACCAAACTTTCTATTTTAGTTTGTACATGTTTTTTTGGTCAAAACCGAGCCGAATAAATAAAACTCATCCTAATTGGACCTTAGATGTCGTAGTTTAGAATCCCGGGTGTAAGATTTTGCATTTTCATCTTCTCTGTACTAAGTTTTGGATTGCTAAGGATGAATCATCTCACATCGAAATAACAAACTTAAAGATACAAACCAACATATTTTCTAGCAACTGTTTTAGTTTAGAATAAGATATGAATCATTCAGTTTACATTCTTAGAACTCATGATTCTGATGAGTAAATGACATAAACAAAGTTACATCAATGAATTGACTAGAACACTTTTCATAGTTATATCCAATGTAAAAGAAGAAATGAAATGAATTGTTAGCTCCATTATCAATGACTCTTTTTAGAAGCTCCATTATCAAGCTTTTCATTGCAATTGAAAGCACTATTCTACATGTCAGCATTGTCACACTTTAATTGTCTGCTTCTTTTAAGGTCAGCTTAAGAATATTTTCTGCCACCGATGGTTTCCTGCATTTTCGACCATAAATCTATTGAAGTGAGACCCAACTTCACAGCTAACTCGCTGCTTTGCGTGCTCTCCTGTCACTAGATTTCTTCAGAGGGAAGAGGTGATGCAACAAGAACAAAGTCCATCTAGTGTTATATCCACCATATCCACAATTCAAGATATCAATTTAAGCTTCTGACATATCTATAACCACTATCTAATTTTATGCCCAATAACCAACTATTTCCTTAACCTTATACTTTATTGAACATCATGGTATCCTCATCTAGCAAATAGAAAAGGGATCGGACAATGTCCTAGTTAATCTAACTTGAAACATAGTTTTGTTTGTTTTTCCTGGCAAAGTAGTTGAAATAAGGAGACATCACATAGTTGGAGAATTGTTGGAGAAGTTGTCACGAGGAATGGGACTAAAGCCCGTGAATTGAAAAGTTCTATAGTGGATACCCAACCTAGTTGGTCCTAGGTTCAAAAGGGACAACTAAATTATAGAGCGAATGATGGTCACTGTGGGGGTCCCGGACTCCTACCCACTCCTCGTTAAAACAGTGACTCCCGCACGAGGTTAGCAAAAACGTTTGCTTTAATGATTCTAAAATGTTGATCTACTCGATAACATTGGAAGAGTATGCGGGATACTCGTGAAAGAATCACCTATGTGAGAGAGAAGAGGGCCGCTTCAAAGGAGAACTGTAAAGGCTCAGTTCTTTAGAAACTCTTGCAGAACCAGGACGGTGACCCATGGCCAAAACGGGCACACCCATGAGAACGGAACAAAGTTGGAAGGTTCTTGTGTAAAGATAAGTCAATGTTTACACGACGGCAGTATAGTTCAAGGACATCGAGTCTACTAGACAGCCAGTAAATAAACGTGTCTTTACAACGGAAGGTTCAAAGGATAAAACCTACCTCTCCGTATGCAAGGATCATCCGGTGAACACAACGTGTCCTCCTATCTTCGTGTCTTTTTAAGTCTCGAAAATCAATTTTCATTCATGTGGGGGATTGTTGGAAAAATGTGTTAAAAATTGCATTAAATGATCATTTTGGGGCAATTATTTGAGTGTGGTCCACTTCCGATTTGGGTCGGGTTAAAGTGGTTTCGGATTGTCCTTGTTAAGGGCTACAATTCGATATATGGTACGCTCAAAACGGATAACGGGTGAATGAGAAATTGATTCTCGAAGTTCGCTCATTGAAATGGAAAAACTGGAAAAATGGTGAGTTTCTAGTGTGTTTTATCCCACACCGAAAAACTCAAGGGATTTTCACCCCCTTATAAAGGGAAGCCTCTTTTAAGGAGTTAAGATTCCTAAAGGGAAAGGCTCTCTCTTACGCGCGGGGGGGGGGGGGGGGGGGGGGGTGCCGATCAAATCCCGAAACGGAGAAGAAAAACCGCGACTCGTGTTCTGTTGGCTTCGGACAGAACACCTTGAAGGGGTGTTCTGTTGGCTACGGACAGAACCCCTCGAAGGGTGTTCTGTTGGCTTCGGACAGAACCCCTCGAAGGGGTGTTCTGTTGGCTTCGGGCAGAACCCCTCAAACGGGGTGTTCTGTTGGGGTCTTCTGTCGCGCAATTCTTCCGTTACAACAATTAATGCCCAACGTTCTTCTCTTTTAATGCTGCGTTAAATGGACAGTTTATGGATGATTCAATGCCCAACGGACTGGTCATTGATGTCCAACGTTCAGGTCCATTAACACCCCATTTAACACACAACAAATCCTCCTATAAATAGCTGGCAGGTGTTTTGCAACAAACACACGGTTTGACAACGCACAATACTTTCCTCACGTTTTCTTGAGCTAAAAACTCTTCCAGCTACTCCCAAATTTCCCTAGTGTTCTGCTATTGTTCCAGTTCGTCGGGACTTTCGTTTGTGTGCTCAAACGATCGTTCGTTAGCCACCGTATCCTAGGAAACGGTCGTTGCAACGCTCCTAGCACCGTGGGAGGCGACGAATACGTTTTAAGGACATCGTGCGTAGCACGAGCTCTGGCTAAAATCTGCTCCATCTTATTTTCTGTTTTCTTTTAGCTATTTTGTTTATTAATTAATTTAATTTAATTAATATTTCTTCGTTTTTTCCGAAACACACCCAACAATTATTGGGTCTGAATGTCATTCAGATTGAGTACTGCCCTCACAAGCCAAAACAAATCTTTTACCGTGTACTTTGTGATCATTCATCCAAGACAACTCTCGTGCAAACACATTTAACTAACTTGGAGTTATTAAGAAACGGACTCTTTAAAATGAAATGCATCTTATTAGTATAATCTAATTACTATTAATCCTTTCAAACTAATGTCAAGTATCACACCGAAAACCGGACCTGATACTAACTGGTCCGATCCAGGTCTGCCCGAACCTGAATTTTCCGTTCTGGACCGATTTTGACCCTAATTGTTCTAGTATTTAAAAAAAGCTTATTATTTTAAACTGTTGTTTCAAACTATAATCTTATGTGGAGATCTGCTAAATAGACTAAATAATTGTTTAACTCATCTATCAATTGTTTCTAACTGATGACATGTCCAACAGTATATAAAGTTATAAACTATTGTAATTAGATTTAACTAAATGTAAATATTATCCTATATAGTTAGTACAATTCATTCATAAATAAAGGTATATATAGGAGTGAATACAATTCATTCCTTCCTATAATCTCTACATAAACTACATCCATAGTGCACACCTATAGATAAAGAAACAAATAAAAAGCAACTATTGAATTATTCAGACGCCAAATTGACTTTACTTTCATATGCATAGAAGAACAAAGTTCATTTTTGTTTCAAATCATAGCAAATTAAATTATGATAATTCGATCTTGTAAAAACAAAACATATTGCACCAACTTCAAAAAACAGAATGAAATAAAATGTTAATGCTCCTTGATCGGTATAAGGTTTCTTAGTATAGGTCAACATAATTCCCTAATTGCAAATAGAGAGAATTCCCTAAATAGGTGTAAAGTTTTGAAATTTCAAAATAGAACTATAATGTTTTTTATTCCTTGAATAGGAGTAAATTTCTGTCAAGTTTGGCATTACTGACTTTAAACATAACATTTTTTCCAAACTTGATAGAATTACTCCTATTTAGAGAATAAAAACGTGAAAGTCCTATTTTGAAATTTCAAAACATTTTTACTCCTGTTTAGAACAATTTCTATTGTAAATATATACTCCGTTCATATATCTAATGAAAGAAGTACATTTTTACGGCCTAATAATTTAACGGACCATCGATCCAGACCTGTATTTTCTATAGAACCCAAAACCTTGAAAATCTTTTGACCGAAATTCGGACCTGTTAATACCGGGCTGGACCGATCCACTCCGATCCGGTTCAGGTCTAATATCTGATCCGACCCGGTTAATGCACAACCCTACCTTCATCCATAGCCTAAGCACAAAACACTCCCGATCTCCGGACAGCGTAATGCTCGGTGCGATCAAGGGCAGAACCAAACATGCATGCTGTTTGGTCATCATTGTTCCTATTTATGTACCGATCATACTTCATTCGCCAACATACACTTTGCCAGAACATCGGAATTGGTGAGAAGAACATTTAAAGCATGGATCGTTGGCTATAGACCTCCCAATTTGAGAGTCAACCAAAGGGGAATAACAATGTTGACCTTCCAAATTCGTCCATATCAATGTGAAGAGTGCACATTGTTTTTTGTCAATGCATCAAGTTTACTAGAAAGGGAGATGAGCTTAAGAAGACGTTTGGTAGGATGTATAATAATTACTTTACATGTGAAGTGTGGGAATGTAAAATATTTGCATTGCTTGGATTGATTATTTAATGTAATTAAACTGTATGAGACTTTTTAAAAATATTTCGGATCGTACCATTTAAAGTATTTTACATGGGGGTAAAATAGTTTGCATGTTCTTTAAACCATTTAAAGTATTTTACATGGGGGTAAAATAGTTTGCATGTTCTTTAAAGCATCGCAACGCCTTTGTGTGCAAATTAAATAAAGTACACATTTAGCCAAATAATGTAATCTATTTTATATGGAAAGTAATCATTTTCCTTAACGTTGCATACAATCATTTTGTGTGAAAATATTTAACGCATAAACTACCAAACGAGCCCTAAGATTCTATTGAAAGAAAAAAATCTACTCCAAACTTGCATATGTAATCTAAGTACTCCAAACTTTATGTAAAATGTTATTTTAGCAACATGATCAAGTATTATTTCTTTCAAAATGTAGATGTATGATGTTAATTGCTTAATTTAAAATTAATGTTTTAGAATTCATGAAGACACAATCAACATTCTAAAATTCTATTACGAAATAAATAATGTTACCCCCAATCTATATAATTGCAACACTTTTAATTTGCTCATTTAAATTATGCAATTAACCTCATAAATATACATTTTTGAAAGAAAGAATAATGATCATGGTGCGAAAATGAATTTTATATAAAGTTTGGAGTATCTATATTTACATATGCAAATTTGGGGTGTTGACCTCACATCTCTTCATAATTTGGAATATTTTTATTATTTTTCCCTTTAATTAATAAAGTTAAATAACATGGACAAGAATACTTAATCATTAAATGCATAGTCCCAGAATTGAAAAATGCAATAAAATGAACAAAAGCATTGCTCTTTGTTTTTAAATAATCTTCACACATTTTGCCAATACAAAAAATATCTTCACACATTCATCGTCGTCACCGGGAGCATTTCATTTAAGAATATAGATTTTTCCTTAAATATTACTAATAAAAATGTAACTTACTAACTATTAATGACGATAATTGTGTACAAAATTTCCATTACAGTAACTTACATTTAGTTACTATAATATAAATTTTAAACACAATTATAGCCACTATTAGGTACTAAGTAATATTTTCGTCCACCACATTTTAAAAAATAATATCCATGTAGTTTTTTCTTGAGAATACACTACATCTTAAACTAATTTTTTTTCCTGAATAAGTTATAACCGACCAGTCAAATTTTTTAATATCCCGATAACAATAAATGTTATTATAAAAGGGGTTTTTACCTTAATATTACCGATTTAAACAGAAATTCAAAAAATGTGAGCACTTTTAAAAATGGGCAAAAAAGTGATCAACAAGGTTATATATACGGAAAACATGATGTCCCTACAAAACTTTGTCACTGCGTTTTTTTCATGTCACTAAGAATAGTCCCCGGATTTTTTCACGCCAGTTACACCACCGCAGTGACGCCGCCCCGATGACACCACCGCAGTGACGCCGCCATAGTGACACCGGATTTTCCAGTGACATCGCCCACCGGAATATACTCCGGCCGCCGTCAATGTGGGGAAATTTTCCAGCGCCCAACCACCAGCAACAACGGCTTGCCACCGCCACCCCTTCCCGTCCCCAGCCACCACCGCCACCCCTGCCCGTCCCCAGCCACCACCGCTACCCCTACCCGTCCCCAGCCACCATCGCTGCCCCATCCGTCGCCACTGCCCCTGTCCCATCCACAACCGCCACCCTTACCCCGTCCCTGCCCCTAGTCGAGTATTCCGGTCCCCAACCCCCTCCCCTTCCCTGCCCCTAGCCGCCCACTCCCAGTCCCCAGCACCCTCCCCTACCCCGCCCCCTGTTGGTCCTTCAACCCCTCTCTGACTTCGAGGACGGTGGATCCGACAGATCTGGCACTATTTGCGCCAAAGCTGAGTCGTCGTCCACCAAGGTTGGTTGAACCGCCCTCGATGCCCGCTCATCGGATTCACTACCCTCAAAGTTCGGATTTAGCCCCTTTGCAGTCGGAATCGCCCCATTTGCGCTCAGCCGTTTGGAATCCCTGCAACTAGACAGAAATAGAAGAAGAAGAAGAAGAAGAAGAAGAAGAAGAAGGAGAAGGAGAAGGAGAAGGAGAAGGAGAAGGAGAAGGAGAAGGAGAAGGAGGAGAAGGAGGAGAAGAAGGAGAAGAAGAAGAAGAAGAAGAAGAAGAAGAAGAAGAAGAAGAAGAAGAAGAAGAAGGATGGCGGTGCAGCAGGGAGGACTTGAGGTGGCGGCGCGAGGTAGGAAGATGTCTGAGGAAAGGCGGCGGCGACAGGGCTGGATCTTCAGCGGTGGTTGTTCAGCGATGAAGGAAGGAAGCAAATTTGACGCTAAGGAAGAGGAAGGAAGCAGAAGTTTCAAAATTTGAGACTAAGTCATATTTTGGGAAATTTCAAAAGTGATTATATTTGTGTCCATTTAAACTTTCTAGATAATATTTTTGCCATTTATTCTCATTTTTTACTTTGAATGCCCCATAAAATGGCCTCCTATGTTTTGTCACTACACTACTATTTATGCTCTATAGTAAAATTAATTATTGTTATTGTTAAATTAGATACCCCGTATGGTTTTTATAATGAATACATGGCAAAAATATTATCTAGAAAGTTTAAATGGACACAAATATAATCACTTTTGAAATTTCCCAAAATATGACTTAGCCTCAAATTTTGAAACTTCCGCTTCCTTCCTCTTCCTTAGCGTCAAATTTGCTTCCTTCCTTCATCGCTGAACAACCACCGCCGAAGATCCAGCCCCGTCGCCGGCGCCTTTCCTCAGACATCTTCCTACCTCTCACCGCCACCTCAAGTCCTCCCTGCTGCACCGCCATCATTCTTCTTCTTCTTCTTCTTCTTCTTCTTCTATTTCTGTCTAGTTGCAGGGATTCCGAACGGCCGAGCGCAAATGGGGCGATTCCGACTGCAAAGGGGCTAAATCCGAACTTTGAGGGTAGTGAATCCGATGAGCGGGCATCGAGGGCGGTTCAACCAACCTTGGTGGACGACGACTCAGCTTTGGCGCAAATAGTGCCAGATCTGTCGGATCCACCGTCCTCGAAGTCAGAGAGGGGTTGAAGGACCAACAGGGGGCGGGGTAGGGGAGGGTGCTGGGGACTGGGAGTGGGCGGCTAGGGGCAGGGAAGGGGAGGGGGTTGGGGACCGGAGTACTCGACTAGGGGCAGGGACGGGGGCAGGGGTGGCGGTTGTGGATGGGACAGGGGCGGTGGCGACGGATGGGGCAGCGGTGGTGGTTGGGGACGGGTAGGGGTGGCGGTGGAGGCTGGGGACGGGCAGGGGTGGCGGTGGTGGCTGGGGACGGGGAGGGGTGGCGGTGGCAAGTCGTTGTTGCTGGCGGTTGGGCGCTGGAAAATTTCTCCACATTGACGGCGGCCGGAGTATATTCCGGTGGGCGGTGTCACTGGAAAATCCGGTGTCACTATGGCGGCGTCACTGTGGTGGTGTCACCAGGGCGGCGTCACTGCGGCGGTGTAACTGGAAAAAATCCGGGGACTATTCTTAGTGACATGAAAAAAATGCAGTGACAAATTTTTGCAGGGACATCATGTTTTCCGTATATATAACCTTGTTGATCACTTTTTTGCCCATTTTTAAAAGTGCTCACATTTTTGGAATTTCAGTTTAAATCGGTAATATTAAGGTAAAAAACCCCTAAAAATGATTCACTTTTATCAAAATTTATTATAACCGGTGGATTGTAATAATTTAACGGGGCAGTTCATTTGAAAAATTTGGTCAAACCAAATCGAACAAGTTGGCTGGCCAATTCACAGCCCTTATTCTGTCCCCACATAATACACGTCCCTGCTCAATGTACCAGAAAGAGCCACACTAGATTATGGCAATAGATTCTGGGGAAGAAAAATATGCACAAGGACAGAGAGGGAGGGAAAATAAAGAGCTCACCCAATAAGTACAGTCGTGTTTTTACTGAGTACGAGACTCTCCCTCCTCCTCGAGCCCAACCTTCCTTTTCCATACTGTCTTCTCTTTCTACAGCATTTTCTCTGTTGAAAAATAAAACCCAAAAAAAAACCAGAGAAGAAACCAAGAAAATATATTTGACATACAAGTCGACCGCCTGCAGATTAGCAGAAGCATTCTTGTTGTTTTGCTCTTATATAGCTAGGGCACTCCTTTTTGCCAGAACCTTGTGCGGCCTTCTTCTCCAATGCACCTGTTAAAGGTTTACTCCATCTTCTAACTGTGTTTCCCGAGTTGCCAAAATCAAGAAAAAGAATCCCTCCGTTTTTTTTAGGTAAAAGAAATTACCTTTGCAAAAATCCCTAAAGTATATTTCAACCCACATTCTCCGGAAGAAGAAAGCACCCACCTTTTTACCCCTCTTTTGTTTTCTTCCATTTTTCACCCCAAAGAAAGAGGGAGAGGAGAGATGGGGTGCGTTTCTTCAAAGTTTGAGCAAGAGGAAGAAGGGGTAGTATCCATATGCAGAGAAAGAAAGAAGCAACTGAAGCTTACTGTAGAGAGAAGGTACAGCTTGGCAGATGCGCACCATAGGTACTGCCAAGCACTAAATGGAGTCTCAGCTGCTCTCAGACTCTTTGTAGCTCGCCATACTTCACCTGCTTCTCCATATCTCATCACCTTCCCACCACCACCTTCCCCTCCTCAAGAAAATAAGGCTGATTCAAACCCAATGTTTCTTCAGCAAAACCCAACCCAAGAAACCGCTGACTGTCTGGGGTCATGCCTACACTCTTCAGAGGATGAAGAAGAAAAAGAAGAAGAGAATGAGGAAAGAGAGGATGTATACCACCTCGAGAAGAAAGAGGAGAAGGCCCAGCAGGCAGCAGCAGTTTGTGGGTATTTTTATATGGAAATGCCTCGAGAAGAGGTATTGCAGCATTCAACACAAATACCCACTGGTGATGGTTATGGTGGTTGGGATTTCTTTAACCCTTTTTATGGGTACAACCACCAGATCTCGGAGGAGGACTTGAAGGTGGTGAGGGAGAGAGAGGGAATACCAGAGTTGGAGAAGGAAGAAGAAGAAATTTGTAGTAGAGTAATGAAAGATGAGAGAGCTGAAAGTGGGAAAGTGGAACAGAAATGGGGCGAGGAGGTGGTAAAGGGAGAGGAGAGCGAAAGAGTTGTGGGTGTTTTGGGGGAGGAGGAGGTGGATAAGAAGGGGGTAACAGAATTAACAGATATGGAGAAAGGATTAGATGGAGGGAGGGAGCTGCTTGAAGCATTGAAGGATATTGAGGATCATTTCACTAGGGCATATGATTCTGGGAGAGAAGTGTCCAGGTTGTTGGAGTCAAATTGGGTTCACACCCAACCAAATTTGGAGGATTTGAGAGGTAGTAGTGAATTAATTTTATTATGTTTCTTAACTGTCTTTCTTATACACCCACCTCCAAAGTTACAGTCTTGATATCCAACTTGATTGCTTTAGTTAGTTAGTTAGTTACTTTCAGGTGAGACTGTTTGATACATACAATGATTATTAGGTGCCATTATTTTTTGAAATCATGACAAACTTAGCTAAAATAAAAATAATGGACAAAGACATTAGCTCCCCATTGACTGTGATGGTATATTTACATTGATTATAGTGACCATGGTAGTATATCCATAGTGACTATAGTGCCCGTGTAACCTGTGTTATATGGCGAACTTATATTATTGTCTATCAATTTTCTTCTAGTTAGATTATAGGGACCCTCCCACCCTTTTCTGAATACTTTTCACTGCAATTTGTTAAAAGTTATAAACCACCAAAATGCTTAAAGCAGCAGCAGCATCTCATGATGATTGATATTTCTATAGGAAACATCACAACAAAACTGCTAGCACTCACATGGATGCCTACCCCAGCAGCAGCTCATTCTCCATTGTCATCATCTTCTTCTAATAAGAGGAGTCTTGTGGCGTCTACTTCAAAAAGCTCCTCCACCTGGATGACAGAAATCACCAACGATGTCTTTGGTGACCATGGAGGATCCGGAAGCCATTCACTAACGCTCGGAAGGCTCTATGCTTGGGAGAAGAAGCTCTATGAAGAGGTCAAGGTGATTAACTCACTGACTATATATAACATATTTAAGATTTTTTTTGTTACAACAGATATGTATGACAATTTCTTTTGTACATAAATACAAGATTTTTGTTTATATAGACATGATTTTGTCTGTGCGTTTTTATGCATGTGACAATCAACAATAACAACAACATCCAAGTCTTAGTCCCAAAAGATTTTGGGATCGGGTAACATGAATCAATGCATAATATCGTAACCAAAAGGAAAAGAGAGATAAGAAAGATAAAAAGATAATCTATGATAAAAAAAGATAATATCAAAAGATGTGGTTGTACATAAAAAAGATATAATAAAAAGGATACAAATAATATATATATAGATAAAAGGATAAAAAAATAAGAAGTTGAGGGGAAAAGATAATAAGGGTCTTTTATGCATGTGACAATGTGAGAGCAAAAAAAATGTTCGTGTGAAAAAGATTTTTTGTAGTGTTGTTTGTTCCATGTCTCTGTGAACAAATTTTGTTGTTGTACTAATGGTCCTTCAAACTGGTCGTAATTCGTAAACCAACATTACCCTGCATATATATGCTCTTTTGGTTTCCGACTTTTTTTTCTTCTTTTCATGGCTGGTTTGTATTAGTAGTTCTTGATGATTCTATTCCCTTGTGGTAGTAGAATGGGGATATCACTTGGAAATTGTACGAGAAGAAATGCAAGAAGCTAAGAAGAAACCAAGATGCTGCCAGAATAGGTGATGAAGAAGGAAAGAGAGGAGGAGGGGCAGTAAAGGAATTACAAAGCAGGATTATAATCGCTATTCGCAGTGCAGAAACAATTTCAAAAAGAATTGAGAATCTTAGAGACAACGAGCTTCAACCTCAAATTATTCAACTCCTTCAAGGGTAATAATAAGGCTTTCAATGTACTTGCTTTACACATTTTAAATGCAAATATGTACTATCCTTTTTTTCCGTCTCAAAGTTCTGAACTTATCTTATTTGAACTTCACTGAATTTGACATTCCCTCTTTATTTGTTATCTATATTTACATACATTATGTGGGTCCATACTACTTTTTTAGAATACCATGTTCTATTTTCTCCAAGCTCGTGTCAAACTCAAATATATCTCATACTCCCTCTATCCTTCATAACTTTATTAATTTTACTTTTAGAATGTCACAAAAACTTTACCACTTTCCCTTTTAATCGATCAATTTGTGATTCCTGTTATTTATCTCTTCTGTGCACAAACCTATATCATACGTGTCGGTCAAACTTGACAAACTTCTAAGGGATTGAGGGATATTTTGAGACAGGAGTATAGTGCTTTTAAAGTTGTTGGCACTATGTCTAAGCTTGGTTCTTTATCTTGGTTGTTTGCAGCATGATGAGTGCTTGGAAAATCATGTTGGAGTCCCACGAGATTCAGGACAAAATCATGTCCCAGGTGTCAAGCTTCAACTGCCCTACCTATGGAAAATTCTGCAATGATTCCCATCGCCTTGCAACCCTCCAGCTTCAGGTTGAGCTTCAGAATTGGCGTTCTTGCTTCACTGCATATATTGCGGCCCAGAAAGCATATGTTCGGTCCCTCCATGCCTGGCTGTCTAAGTTTGTTGTTGTTTCTCATGCCGCTGACTTCTACTATTCCACCAATGGTCCCCCACTTCTCACTGTTTGCCGTGACTGGTTATCTGCAGTGGATAACTTGCCTGACAAGTCAGTTTATTGTGCTCTAAAATCATGTGCAAAAGATGTTAGGGCTCTCTGGGCCCAGCAGGGATTGGAACAGCAACAGAAACGAAAGGTCGAAAGCTTGTCAAAGGAAGTGGAGAGGAAGACAGTGGCATTCCAGAAGGCCGAGAATAAAATTTTTGAATTCAGGAAGCTCACTGACCACCGACACTCAGAATTGGAGATGGAGCATAGGGAGCAAATTCTGAGAGAACAGAAAGATTTGCTGGATGGTTTCAGAAAAAGGGTAGATTTGGAAAGGGAAGAACACAAAAAATGCATGCAAGAAACACAGAGTATCACGCTCAAAGGGTTTCGATCCGGGTTTGGCAGTGTCTTTGAATCCATGACCGAGTTTTCAAGAGCAGCTTTGAAAATGTACAACGATGTTTTAAGTGCTTGGGAAATGCCTCAGCTTGAAAAAGATGTTAAAGGTTGACATTTTTTAGAAAAGTGTTTTTCGTACAACTAATTTGTACAGTACATTTATACAACAAGTTTTTTTTTTTGTGTACACGGACAATCTTATTTGTGAAAAATAAGTCTCTGTGAGCAAAAAAACTTGTTGTAAAGATTAGTGTGTTCTACAAATTAGTCGCACACCAAGCACTACCCTCCTTTTTTAATGGCAGGAGGCAAACGCTAGGATCATGGTTTAGAGCTTAGAAGTTATGTACATTAGTAATTTATGTCAAGTTTGTAATTTCTGTCAACGTGATTACATGACTGTTCTCTGGATCAGCATTAGTATTTAGTAGAAAGATGGTTATTGCCATTTCCACTTTGCATTAATACAACCAAACAGAGCCATACATTTTAAGCAAATACTCCTCTATGAATAAGTGCAAAATCACACTTACTGCAAATGAGCAGGGAATGGCGTGTTTCCCGTCTGCTTATTATTTTATATACAAAGAAACCAAAAATTGAGAAAGAATAATGAATTCAGCCACTAGAGTAGCAGGGTTGTGTATGCCAAGAAATGGGACAATATCTACTTGCAACCAACTCTCAACTGCAGAACCCATCACTGCCCCTGCCACCAGCCCACCAATTGTCACCAGACTTGCTTTGCCTGTTGTAAGTTATAACATAACGCCACCAGTCTTAGTTAGTGTAGTGATGGGAAATAAAACAGTTATTCAGTGTATTTATGGAAAAATCCATGGAGAGGAGTCAGAGGACTATAACCTATGTGGCTATGTTACAAAAACTGAACTGTGGATTGACCTGATCAAGAGGCCAGGTCACGGGTCAACCTGGACCTAACAGGCCACCCTTGCCAATGCAAATGAAAACGAAAAAAGTATGCATGTAATTATATACTCCGTATTAGATTAAAGAAAACATTAACTACATTTTAATATTTTATAATGGTCAAAAAATGATAATGGATGATGTTTAATCATTTCGGACCAAGAATATATCAGTTATTCACTTATTTGTATTGTAAATCTTTAAAATAATCTTGGCAATGAGATGCGTAAACATATCGCATTAACTTTTTACTCTTATAATGTTAGGGGTGAATTTTATTAAATCAAAGAGACTTGAGCAAAAAAAGAAAACTCAGAACTAGTTTGACCCATGTAGGTCGAGTTCTACCCGACTGCTTCTGATCCGGGTTTGCTCGTGTAGGGCAGGTTTTAACCGGGTTAGGCTAAATCCCAATTTTTTATGACCTGGTTTGATGACTGGGTCGACCCAGCCTGACGGGGCCAGTTCTTGTAACATAGAGTAAACTGTAAAAGTATAAAACATATCACATTACTTAAAATAAGCAGTTAAGCACATCACTTTTCCCCTAAAATAAGACATTTCATTTATAGGAAACGAATTATTGAGCACTTTTATTCCCTTTGTATGTCTGAATTGTCTTATTTTTGGCAGAGAATAAAGATAGTCCGATTAGTGCACAAGACCTAAGTATTTTTCCTATTCATATAATATCTTTATATATATTGCCTCCTTAAACTTACCCAAGGTAACATTTTTCTTGGTGATGAAATACAAGGTTGCTCCAAAACTGGTGGCTAAAATCAAGCCAGGGATATCTGCTCCTCCTGGAAAAGCTGCATCAGATGAAGTTGGGGCTCCATTTGCATATGTTAGAACTGATAGGGCTCCATAAACCCCAGCTTGGACAGCCAGCTCTCTGGTAGATGGTGTTTCAAATGAAACGGTCGAATTCCTGACAGCATTCTGCAACCACTTAGGAATTGAGTTCATTCTTGAGGCATTGACAGATTTTTTAACATCTGCATAACGAATAGATTTGTCAACAACTTTTCCAGCTCTCCTCTGCGACAAGCTCTGCATCAGCAGCATATCATATGCAGCTTCCACCTATAATCACCATTGTCATATTATTATTACTCCAAACATAGAATGCCCATAAATAAACAATCCATACATGTTTCAAATTAAACAAACACGAGAAAAACAGTCGCATTCATTCTGATTTTGTGTTTTTAAAGAACAAAAAGTGTGATAAGAGGATATGAAGCCACTGGATTACCATTGGTAATTGATATATGGGTAATTTAATGTGTCAAAAACATATGATCTTTCAGTAAGGCGATCTTTTTAAAGATTCTTTTTACTCCTTAACCTTAAAGTGCTACCATTTTTTCACTAACTTCAATTCCTATTGACCTACATACACAAAATGAATAATAAGCAAATGGTCTTAAAGAGGACTGGATTACTAAGAATCGGGAAACTAAGTACAAAAAGTCCAGTTAATCATTTCCATCTGGTCCATTTTCCAAAGAGTTGTGGAGTTTCAGACGCTAACACAACTATAAAGGATTAAACAACCATATTAGAGCTTAATTTAAGAAACGACCCTGACCTGGAAGCTTCTGCTATGATCAATGGAAGCAAACAAAGAAGATCGCAGCAGGAATAAAAATGTGAACTTTTCCAACACACGGTGACTGAAAAAAGCAGGAAACAGAATTTCTAGAACGGTAAAAAAAGTATCAAAAAGGAAAATGATATCAAACCTTTATAATGGTTTCTGGGTCACCTTTACTCGCAGCAACAATCGATTTCTTGGCACGGAGAATATCTTCGAAGGAGGCACCGTCCTGAACTCCGAGCAGCTTCAGTGCGTTCTCTACGGACATCTCGAAAGGAACCGAGTCTTCTGCTCTCGAGCTGGCTTGGACGGTCGTGTCTAAGGTTCGTCGGCGGGAGATGAATACGACGCCGAGTTTTTTTATCCTATCGGTTGCGTGAAACGAGTTAGGGCTACGGAAGAGTGACCTGCGCCGGAATGAACCGGACATACGATTGCCGATGATCGTCCGGTCCGGTTGGACCGATAGAGATGACACCATCTCTCTTTGCTTCGTTTTAGAAGCTTGACTCGTAACAGAGTTGTTACGGAAGGGAACAGATGACGTGGTCGTTTGCACGCATAATCATCGTTGAATCTTATACTCTCTCCCTCAAAATACTTACAACTTTCCCTTTTCGTCCGTCTCAAATAGAACTTTCCTTTCTTTTTTTGTCAAAGAATTTGTGGTTCACAGCATTTCTCTCTCCTCTGCATAACTCTCCACCACACAATTCACACTTTCTTATTTGATTTGTTATCAAATACCAATATGAATATCAGTGTATTCGGTTTGAATATTAATCAAATAATTCGATTAACAATAGTGGTAGTATTAATAATAATAATAATAATAATAGTAATAACATTATAATAACTTTTAAAAGATAGCAATAGCCTCAAAATGTAGCCCATATATATTTATGCATACATATTACAAGTTCATTTGTAGTAAATCAAAATATAAATCATTTTCATTTACCCCAGTGCCGCAAAGGCTCCCACCTACGGTGGGGTAAGGGGGGGTCGGATGTACGCAGTCTTACCCTTGTACTAAAGCACAGAGAGACTGTTTCCGAATGATCCATAGTGAAAATCCCGTCCAAAATTGCATGGACTGACTGCTGCTTCATAACAAAGAAGCGCAGACAGTTTAGTGAGCCATTTTGCTTTATTCCATCATAATCTAAAGCCAAAAAATAATGAATCTTTGGCTCCATTGCAAATGATGGAAAATAAATCAAAATATAAATATGAATACAAATATAATTTTTTGTTCAAATGTCTTTCAAATACAATACACGTAATTATGTATTCGATTGGAAGCATACAATTAAAGTCATTTGACTTTTATATATACAATTATCAACTTATTTCACACAGTATAAGTATAATTTCTAATATGTTTGTGTTAGTGTTTATTTCAAAAGGTTTGAAATAGATTTATATTTATTAATTATAAAATCGAGTCACTTTAGTATATTGCACAATCTAAAAATGCATTGATCCATTAAATTTAAATTCTAAAAACACATATTAAATCATATCATGCATTTACAACTTAAAAAATGTATGGACAGTTATTTTAAAGTAATACTACCTTCGTCCCTTAAAACTTTGCCAAAGTTGATCGACACGGAGAATAATAAAGTAAAAACTGTGTGGTTGTGGTTTGTGCAGAGCAGAGAAATAACAGAAACCACAAAATAATTGATTAAAATGGAAAGTAACAAAGTTTTTTGGGACGTCCCAAAAAGGAAAGATGACAAAGTTTTAAGGGACGAAGGGAGTATTTAACTACTCCCTCCGTCCCAATTTGATAGTCTCGTTTCTTTTGAGCACAAGTTTTAATAAAGTGATTGAAAAGGTAAAAGTTGTGGTTGAGATATGAGTATAATAAAGTGAAATGATATGAACCACATCTTTCTTTTCAAAAAGGGAAACATGACCATCATTTTGGGACATCTCAAAAAGGAAATACAGGACTATCATTTTGGGACGGAGGGAGTAATATTTAACATGTGCTCAAATCGATTCGATATTCGTATATGATTCGTAAACTATTCTTATTGTTAAACAAATACAAATCGAAATTAATATGCGTTTCATAATTCGAATTTGTATTCGAAAAATTAAACAAATATAAATACAAAATCTCACTATTCGACTCGATTCGTTTACAACCTTACTTGTGAGTATAAATATGTTATTTTGAGTATTAGATTTATGAGCCTAATATGAGAAATTTACTGGGATATGACTAAAACTCAATGAGTTTCCAAGTATATGACCTAACTAGTTTTTATGACCGAAAATACCAAATAAATAAGAAATCTCGTTTATATATAAAGGTTGAATGAAAAAATTATGACATTTTATAAAAAAAGGGATCACTTGCCACATGACATCATTCTATTGGATGCATACTTAATATAAAAATGATATGGAGGAACCGGACATGGAGCTGGAGGTGCGCAAAGAAATTTTTATTTGTTTTAATTATATTTAATTTTAATTGATAATTAAGAAAGCCAAATTTGTAGAACGGTTAGATTAAGGAGTGCAAGCAACACCCTAAATTATACTCCGTACTTCGTAGGTAGTATACGGAAATGACATCCTGTATTTAACATTTCACATACATATAAATTCAATATTCTAAGGCAAGAACACTCTACCATCTTGTTCTTCACTGGAAACAACTGATCCAACCTGCGATTGCTCGAAAATGGCGGCTACGTGGCAACCGGTAGAGGAAGGGTTCAAGGAGATCTGCGGATTGTTGGAGCAACAGATGTCGCCTACTTCCGACAATGGTCAGATTTGGAAGAAACTGCAGGACTACTCTCTGATCCCTGATTTCAACAATTACCTTGCTTTCATTTTTGCTCGTGCCGAGGTCTCGCGCTCTCTCACTCTATCACTTACGTCCCGAATTACCTGTTACTGTGCGGACCAGTCCTTGGGCTTTACTAGGGTTTTGGGGGCGTGAGGTTGACGATCATGTGGACTGATATACTGCTAAAAATTTGTGTCAATTTGTTGCTGCAATTGATTCTTCGTTTTTTGTTTCGATTTTGTTTCCTCATTAGTAAGTTTCTGTTGTTACTAATCATATGTTCTAATTATATCCCCCTCCAATTTAATAACATGCGGAGTATGAGACTCTTGCGTGAATAGTGTTCTGTAACTTTCACGGAAAGCATTGTTTGGTGTGATATTACCATCACATGCAGTTACTGGTTATACACTCACAATAACTTCCTCTTAGAATAAATGTTTGAAGTTTGCAAAAAAGAAGTAGAGAGCCCTGCTGAGTGCTGTTTTTGAAAGATTTAAGCTTTATATTAAGCTTTCTTTGATGTAACACACTAACACTAGCTTCGTTGGTGCTCATAACAGGGGAAGTCAGTGGATATTCGGCAAGCAGCTGGGTTGCTTTTGAAGAATAACCTCAGGACTGTGTTTAAAACTATGCCGCTGGGGAACCAGCAATATATAAAGTCCGAGTTGTTACCTTGTCTAGGTTCTACTGATAAGCACATTAGGTCTACAGCCGGGACCATCATTAGTGCTATTGTTCAGATTGAGGGAGTTGCTGGTTGGCTGGAGTTGATGCACACTCTTGTAAAATATTTGGATAGCAATGATGTGAATCTCATGGAAGGGGCAATGGATGCTTTGTCTAAGGTGCTTTTGTCTCTATCATAATCTTTATACATGTTCTGGTACTCGTTTTTGTTCTTTCCCTGTAGCAAGGAGTGTGGATGCATTTTTATTCACACAAGCTATTTTCTTAGGTACATTTTAACGCAACACATATTGAATATTGTTACCTATCATGATAACTCCGTGATATGCTGCAGATATGTGAGGACGTTCCTCAAGTATTGGATTCTGATATTTCTGGATTGTCAGAAAGACCCATTAATGTTTTCATCCCAAGGTTTCTTCAGGTGGACTTTGTAACTGAGTTGTTTTAGTTATCTCGTTTTGTACGATTGTTGGATATCTGATCTTTATTGGCCCCATAAACACTGCCTGCTGATATGCTGTTCTTTATTCAATCCATTTATAAACAGCTTTTCCATTCACCACATGCTACACTAAAAAAGCTTTCCCTGGGTTCTGTATATCAATTCGTTATGATGATGCCCAAGGTGATGCCTTACTAAACCTCTTGAATAATTACCCCTTTCCACATGAGTTTATGCTTTTTGAATGATGTAATAACTGAATTATCTTCAATACATACAGGTTCTTTATGTGAATATGGACAAGTATTTGCAAGGTTTGTTTCTTCTTGCTAATGATTCAACTTCAGAGATCCGGAAGTTGGTAAGAGAAACCTCGCTTTTTATTCCCAGGGATTTGTTCAAAATTAATTTGCTTTTAACCATGGCTCTATCTTCTCTATTGTTTTCTCGGAAAATGTTATAGGTTTTAATATGAGTATGACTTTCTTAGGTTTTATTAAAATTTATATTGTTTTGACTTTTGAGGGTATAACTTATAAGTTGCATGATTAGATGTGTACTATCCAAAAAGTATCTTCCCAATCATCTTCCCATTTTCTCTATCATGAACTGAGTATGATCCAATAGTGTACGATCCAATAATTTTATTTATCACTTAATCTATCTATGATGAAGTTCAGATTAGGTGATTTTGTGATTCTGCTCTTCTGACAATATTGATCATATAATGCTTTTGTTTATGTGTTTCATTCCCCTTGACTCCTTTGCAATAGGTATGTGCAGCTTTCGTTCAATTGATTGAAGTTCACCCAGCTTTCTTGCAGGTCAGGCTCTCTTTTCTCTAATTGTGGCTTTATGACTTATGCATGCTTTAGAGGATCTCATATGATGTTGTATCACTATGCTATTTAATGGTGTATTTTGGATCTTGTGAATCATTACAAGTTTTGTATACACAAGCACCAACTGAGTGCATTTGTATTATCTTATGACACCCTCTGATCCTCCATTTGCGGCTTTGATGAACCCTGTTCTCTCTTCATTCTGATTTTGTGCTGCAGACACATATGAGGAATGTTATTGAATATATTCTTAAAGTCAATGAGGACATCGATGATGAAGTGGCTCTTGAAGCTTGTGAGTTTTGGTAAGTAGTTCCAAATTTTCAATAACTTTTTAAATTGCATATTTGCATTTGTTGATATGGAACTTGCTGAGTTGCTGGATACTAAAATAGGGAATACCTTCTGGATGCATGCATATGTCCAGGCAAATATTTTGCCATTTTTATCGTCTTAATGTCATAGTTTTCCTTTATCATCAGGTCAGCATATGCTGATGCTCAGCTCCCTCCAGAAAATTTGAGGGAATTTTTGCCGCGTCTGATTCCAGTAAGAATCATGTCTGAGTTGTATATTACTTTTTTCATATTTGGTCAATCACATCTTCAAATTAGAAGCAGATTCTGATGTGATGTATTCACCTCACTTGTGTAGGTCTTGCTTTCCAACATGGTTTATGCTGATGACGATGAATCACTTGCGGAGGCTGAGGTTTAACATATCATTCATCTGTGTTTTTACTTGTTTTTTGTGCATTTTGTGTACTTGATCATCTTATTTACTTCATGTCACTAAATCACAGGAAGATGGATCTCTTCCTGATAGAGACCAGGTTTGGTCTTCATACATTTTTTTAATTCTGATAAATAATATGACTATTGTATCATTTGTATGTTTGAACTATGTCTCATCAAACCTTCTGCAATGCAGGATCTGAAGCCGCGGTTTCATTCATCACGGTTTCATGGATCAGAAGATGCTGATGATGATGTATGATTTTGTGATCTCTGGATTTAGGTTAATTTTGTGACATATAAATGCCTATTATATAACAGTTTTTTGCAATTTATGTTGGTAGGATGATGACACAGTGAACATATGGAATTTAAGGAAGTGCAGTGCAGCTGCTCTAGATGTTCTCTCAAATGTATTTGGTGATGGGATTCTCTCTAGTTTGATGCCTGTTGTTCAGGTTATGTTTTATATCTGATTGCATCTGGGGCTGCCTTACTGACGTATCCTTTTTACATATTTAATAAGCATATATGTTTTGCATTTCTACAGACTAAATTATCTACTACAGATGATGCATCTTGGAAGGAAAGGGAAGCTGCGGTTTTAGCTCTTGGTGCTGTCGCTGAGGGATGCATTAATGGACTTTATCCACATTTGTCTGAGGCAATTCTATACACATGCTATTATTATATTCCGTTGAGCTCTATGAGTGAGTGATTTTCTTGGCTAATAAGAATCAATCATAATATTTTTTCAGATTGTTGGTTTTCTGGTCTTGCTCATAGATGACAAACTTCCACTCATGCGAAGTATCTCCTGCTGGACATTGTCACGCTTTAGCAAATTTGTTGTTCAGGTGAGAGAATCATTTGTTGCTGCTTGTTTGCTGATTTCCAAAAAGTTTGGTCATATTATATTAACTGTACTCCCTCCGCCCCACTTAAAGGTTCCCATGCGGTTTACGATGTTTGACTGACCATAAAGTTAACGGATCCATGTCATTAATAAGATTATTTATATGTAAATAAAGTTTACATATTCAGAAACTACATTAAAGATTTTATATACTTGATGAAGAAAAATTAAATTTGATAAAAGTTGGATATATAAAGTAGAAGATTAAGGACAATTCATGTTGACCGGAGAATAGTGGACATGAACCTTTCAATGGGACGAGGGAGTATTAAACTTATGAGTTGAAAAAATTCTGATATTTTGGTCTCTCTATTTCAGAGCAATGATCATCAACAAGGACGCGAACAGTTTAATAAAGTTCTTAAAGGTCTTCTGCGAAGAATACTAGATGATAACAAGCGAGTGCAAGAAGCTGCCTGTTCCGCTTTTGCAACACTTGAAGAGGTTTCCTATCAAGAGAACTGTTCACAACTTCATTTCCGTTGTTCTCATATGTGTTCTGTGACTATTTTCCATTGCGTAGGAGGCTGGAGATGAGCTGGTACCATGCCTAGAGACTATTTTGCAGCACTTAATGTGTGCCTTTGGAAAGTATCAGGTTGTCTTTACCATGTATGTTGGACAGCTCAATTCTTTTCATCAAAGTGTGCTTACTTTTGTTTTATGTAGAGACGAAATCTTCGAATTGTTTATGATGCCATTGGAACACTCGCAGAGGCTGTGGGAGGAGAGTTAAATCAGGTATGAAGTGTAGAACTGATACAGGGCTCCTACATGATTTTGCTTTTTTAAAACCATTGTAGTTTTCTTGGTGTCTAATTGTCTATATTAACCTACTCATAGTTCAGAGCACATTCCTCATATATATTGTTTCTATGCTGATTATTTATTTATTTAAATATATGCAGCCCAGATACTTGGAGATATTAATGCCCCCACTGATTGCAAAGTGGCAGCAAATTTCAGATTCAGATAAAGACCTTTTCCCACTGCTGGAATGCTTTACGTCTATTGCACAGGTACTTTCTCCAAATAAAAAATGGGGTTATGCCCCTTGTATAATCTTATGTGACCGGGACGCCTGATGTGAACAGTGTGATAACAGGAAGCATATACTTTATCTTAATCCATACTCTACGCTGCTACAAATCTTGCTCTTGTACCAACTCCGTGGTCCATACCAGCATCCTTTCCCCTTTCGTCAGTAGAGACTAGAGAGTACTATTAAGTCAGTGCCTAGCTAAGGACACCATATTATGGCTATAGCTTTATGCTGTGGTGCATAAGATTACATAAAGATAAAAGGGCAACCAACTAGAAGAATGAGGAGTAATTTCTGATTGATTTGCTTGATTGGTTTTAATCTAATTTGATTTTATACCTTCATTAGTTGATCTTTTTTAGGAAGTGATTAGCTAGGATTTCCCTTTCCTTGTTTTAGGCATTTTCGTTCATGTAATCCTTGTTACTTAAGAGAGCTTTGTTATGCTAATAAGATATCCAAGAAACAATAAAGAAGAAATCAAGAAGGAAAACTTCTTATATTTCCACAGCCCCTTTTGTTTATACTTTTTTTACTTTATTCATGAGACACAAAGAATACTGGTACATAGCAGCATAGTTTAAACATCCTCTAAGTCGCTTTGTAAAGCATCTTGAATATGACTCTATGTGGGTGTTTCGATGAGCAATTTGGATTTCAGAGATGTTTTGTAGATGTCCAAACTTATAATTAGGCTATTTCTATTTTCAGGCATTGGGTACTGGATTCTCACAATTTGCTCCACCTGTATTCCAGAGGTGCATAAACATCATTCAAACACAACAAATGGCAAAGGTTTAACGAGTACTTGTATGATACTTTTAAAGGATTTCTTGAGTCTAATAGGTCCTTTTTTATTTGATCTTTTTTACCAAATTAGATGCTTCCCAAATTGTACATTTCGTAGATCTGGATTATGATATTCATTCACTGTTTTAAGATGAGGATCAAGCTTCTGTTAAGAAAAACTACCTTTCTGTTGCAGTTAATGTATGTGCTGGAAAATTACTTTTTATAGTAGGATTTGTTTACCATATATATCTTTTTCAGGTTGGTGCTCCATCAACTGGGATACCGTATGACAGAGAATTCATTGTTTGTTCCTTGGACCTCCTCTCTGGAATTGCGGAAGGACTTGGTAGCAGCATTGAGAGCTTGGTACTCGATATTTCATTTAGTTTTTTCTCTCTCCCCAACAAATAATTTCAAATACAAATAGCTGATTGCTTACTTTATCTCATGTGGTTGTATTCTATACTTGCCTTGATTCCAACGGTCATTTTTGTGCAGATATCACAAAGTATTTTAACTGATTTGCTTTTGCAATGTTGTTTGGATGATGTTTCTGATATACGACAAAGTGCCTTTGCATTGCTCGGCGATCTTGCAAGGGTATGTCACAAGTCGTGCAATTGAGCTTGTTTCTCTGCAAATCTCTGTCTGACTAAATGTCTTGGAAGCTGTTATTTGTTTTATTGTTAATCTTGAATGCTACCTTTACTGATATACTTTTGGTGGCTTTTTCTAGGTTTGTCCAGTTCATTTACGTCAACACCTGTCTGAGTTTCTTGGTGCTGCCATGAAGCAACTGGTCTGTTACATGTACTGGATTTCTTGATTGTAGTGTTTTATTTTTAACCTTGGGTTTTTGTAATCATTGACACATGCATTCTTTAAACAGGAGGCTGCCAAGCTGAATGAGACCGTGTCTGTCGCAAACAATGCCTGTTGGGCAATTGGAGAAATTGCAATTAAGGTGGATAACTTAACCATATCCGGGAACTATCACAATACATGCATATTATCTAGTAAATCCCAGTTGTATTGGCACTTTTGCAGCACTGCTTACCCTGGATATGGTACATTTCCTATTGTTATGGGAAGATTTGGAGGCCATCTTCCTTCAAACAAGAGTTTATCATTATCTCGTAATGTTAGTGCTAAGTGAATGCCATGAAGCATTCACGATGAAAGAGTACACATAGGTGGTTGGCAGTGAGGCTAGAAATCATGACCTCTTGTGTGCAACAGAGATATTTTTTATAATCAGGTTCTTGTGTCTAACTTTCAGGTTCGCAAAGAAATATCTCCTGTTGTGCTGGCAGTGATCTCATGCTTGGTGCCAATTCTTCAACATGCCAAGGTAATATCCTTGAACTGATTTCCTGATTCCTGTCAGTGCTTATTCTTGATTACTTCACTGGTCAAGTGCCATACATGTCCTAGTTTTCCTTCAAGAAGGAAGTGTGGCATAATGGCTAGGGAGATGGATTTTGTTTCTTATAAAATGAATATATATTTATACTGTGAAGGAACTCAACAAGTCACTGGTAGAAAATAGTGCTATAACTCTTGGAAGACTTGCTTGGGTCTGTCCAGAGCTCGTCTCACCACATATGGAGCATTTCATGCAAGCGTGGTGCACAGCTTTGTCAACGTAAGCTCTCCAGCATGCTACTATCATGCGATTATTGTTTTGTTTTTGTTTTTGTTTTTTGCTTTTCTTTTCAATAAAGTTTCTTCTTTTCTAACATGTGTTACCCTACCTCCGTCCCATAAAACTTGGCCAACTTTCCTTTTGTGGCCGTCCCAAAAAACTTTGCCATTCCAATTTAAGATAGCAAATATATGGCTACAGTTATTTCTCTCTCCTTTGCACAAATATCTACCACACAGCTTTTACTTTATTAATCTACGTGTAAGTCAACATTGGCCAAGTTTTATGGGACGGAGGGAGTATTTAAGAATGTATAGCATTATCTAAGTAACTCATATGGCATGGTTAAGTCAGATCCTTGATGTTTCCTTGTATGTTTTTCTTCTTCATATTATTATCATATTGTGTACTCCATTGCTGGAGCCTGTTGCATGCAATCACCAATCAATTACACCATCTTTTCATTTAAATCCTTTTTTTGTCTTTTGAACTTATATGTGTTTGTGTGTTATTGATTCTGGGCTTGGTTATGACAGGATACGTGATGATATTGAGAAGGAGGAGGCATTTCGAGGGTTATGTGCAATGGCATGTCTCCTTTCTTTCTAGTGTGTCAAATTTAATTTGGGGAACCAGTTAATATTTGGCGTTTCATCAACTTGCAGGTCAGAGCAAATCCGTCTGGGGCTTTGAGTGCAATGGTTTTCATGTGTAAAGCCATTGCTAGTTGGCAGGTAAGAGATACCTCTAGTCCAATGCTGTTCGCTCTACATTATTTGTGAGTGTGGTTTGCTGATGTTGTTTTTTGCTTTCAGGAAATAAGGAGTAGTGATCTTCAAAATGAGGTCATTCAGGTGTTGCAGGGGTACAAACGAGTAAGTGATATTTTCTATTTATTTAGGGAAAATTAAACTTGTAGACCCGTGTTCCCTAGTTTGTAAATGTCACCCCTGAATTGTCCAAATTGTTGTAAATGTGGTCCTTTGAGGGGTCAAATGTACAATGTGGGCGAGGAGTACATTTCACCCCTTAAAGGATCACATTTACAGCAATTTGGAAAATTGAGCGGTGACATTTCAACATGTTGACTATTTCAGGGACTAAAGTGCGATTTTCCCATTTATTTATGATGGATTCCATTATTCAAACAAAGTAATACTACGTATGTTTATTTATGATGGATTCCATTATTCATCTCTAATATGTGGTACATATTATGCAAAATTTTCAGATGCTTGAGAATGGGGCGTGGGAACAATGCATGTCCTCTCTTGAGGCTCCCATGAAGGATAAGCTTCTAAAGTACCTTGCCTAATGCTCACTGCCTTTTCATTTGGGCTTTTAAAGTACCTTGCTTAATGCATGTGATTGATAATGGAGGGAACTATGCACCCCTGCACTTTCGTGTTAGCGTTGTGTATTGTTGTGCTGTAGCCTGTGTGGTTCTTCAAGAGTGCAAAGTTTTGGCCAAGTGTGTGATAGAAGAATTTGGATTGAAAGCCTTTATTTATACACGCAAAAATTGGTTGGTTGAGAAAATGGTGATACTGTAAAGGGCGGATGGGCATTTCTGACATTTTCTTTTCTACCTAGTGTCCTGTATGTTATCATTTCAAAATTTAGGGCATAGTCTTACTGTTATGGATCAGGAAATTTTGTCTCATGTAATTTTATATACACATATGGCACTGGGCTCGTTAGGTTTTTTAGCCTGTTCCACAAAATTGAGTAGAAGGAATTGGTTTGAACATCAAGTAGGTGAAGAAGAAGAAATGCCGGATGTATTGGTTTGAAAAAGTCTAGCAATTGTATTGTATTTGACTATTTGGTGTGGAAATGGGATTTCATTTCATTTTGTCTGTTCTTTTCAAGTATTTTATTTAATGGAGAAAAAATTGTATCAGTATTCAGTAGCGTAGGTAAATTGATCAGAAATATGTATGATTGTCCAAAATCCAATTGCTTATCCTGAATTAGAGTAGGACAATTCTATTCACAACCCTTCAAATTGGGGTTCAGTTCCTCTCCATTTTTCTTCTCCATTTTTCATCCATTTTTTTTTCTCTTCCTATCTTTTTACCCTTCTCTCTATCTTACTCATTCATATACCCACCTAAAATCTCCTCCTCTCTATCTCTCTCCCACTGAATTCTCCGGTTACGGGAGAGGATCCAAATTCTCCAAATTGCTATTTATTGCCCCTTAATTTAATAAAATAAAAAATGTAATTCAAATGTCTAAATTACCCCTATTAAAAAAGAGAAACAATCAAAGGTTATCCAAGCTCACAAAGAGCATGACAAGTTCTTGAGGAAATCCATACCAAGTTGAGCTCAGATTCTGCCAGTCTCGGTGACACCGTTTTGGAGATGTTCTGTTTTGACTTGATGGACTTGGGCTACTTGGCCAACGAGTTTGCAATTCAGGTGTATCTCTTCACGAAAATCTAAGAATCCGTCGCCGATCTAGTCCAGCGCCGTTCCGGGAATAAGCTTTGTCTAGTAAGGTTTAGAGTCTACGGAGATTTTCAGGTCTGCGTCGGAACTCAGTACCCTTTAATTTGGTGACGTCTTTTCTCTCATCGTCTATGAGTATGTAAATAAAAGAGCATTCCAAGAGGGCCGGCGTTGGAGCTGAGCTTCTCAAAAATGGATAAAAGAATCACCATATTGGCTTTGCACATATTTCGATTATCTGGAGACCAGGTAATTACATTCAGTACTTTTGGAAGAATCGGAAGAAATAATTGGAGAGGTGGTATACACGTGATGCGTATGAGAGTGGAAGAAATAATTTATGTGGCTGTGGAAAGTGAAAATCCATTTGTCATCGTTCACCTCTTTGTGCTTTGACCGTTTTGTTGTTTTAACAAGGGTAATTTAGATATATAAATTATTTTATTTATTTTTATTTAATTAAGTGGCTTAGAATACCAATTTGAAAACGGTGAATAGAATTACATATTAGAGTATGCACCCAAGGCCCAAGCATGTCACCTTAGCTTTGTCTTGTCATTATGGAGCTCCGTATGATTTATTTATCTACGAGAGTACAGATTTATAAACTTTAGCTTTATTTGTTACGCGCCTTCATATCTTAAACTTTTCCTTGTTAAGCTTTAAAAAATTGAAATATTTGCAACTAAGGATTGTGTGATGATGGATAAGAAACTGAAGTAGACAAAATTAATTCTTCTATAGGCAAAGTAGGGTTGGACTCGGGTCCGGGCCGGGTCGGGCCTAGGCCCGGGCGGGCCGGCGGGTCAGAAATGGTGGACCCGGGACCGGCCCGGGTAACCACCGGGTCCGGTCCGGGTCCGGACCGGGCCCATTATATTTGTTTTTTGTTTTCCTCTTCCTAAGTAACCCCCCTACCACCCCCAACCCCCAAACCACCCCAAATGGCCCAAAATACCCAGCCCAACCCAAAACTTTAAAAAAAATTGCAAAAAAAAAAAAAAACTGTTTTTGGCCCGAACCGGGCCCGGGCCCGGCCGGGTCGGGCCTTGTTTTGGGTGACCCGAGCCCGGACCGGAAAACCAACGGGCCGGGCCTACCCGGACCGGTCACTGACCGGGCCACCGGGTCGGGCCGGGCCGGAACAGTACCGGTCCCGGGCCGGTTCCGGGTCGGGCCACCCGGCCCGAGTCCATACCTAGGCAAAACACAAGTAGACCATAATTTAGACAAAAATGTGATCATATGAGGAATGAATGGTAGCTCTAAAATCTCCTTGTTATAACCAAACACCAACCTAAAAAAACCAAACACCAACCTTGTTAGAACCAACCCCACCCTAATTTCCACATGTTCTCTCTCAATCTATCTAAATATCGGCTCTCTCGTGTTTGTGCTGCCCTATGTTTGGGGGGACCATGGATCCGGTTCTTGTTGGTTACTTGCTCATTCCTAGACTAGCTTTGAGTATGGCACTTGAATGAGGTTGGGTAGGTGTGGTTGCTGGTCTCGGTATAAAAATGGTAATCAGACTGGCTAGTTCCAATATGTAATGACTAGTTTGTTTAATCATGTTTGCGGACATTCTATTCATATATTTATATAGATTTACATATCTCTAATCTAATAGAGGCCTGTCTAATGAATTTGGAAGTCCCCATTCTAAATGTAGAATGAGGCCCCACCTTAATATAATTTTTTTTTTAAAAAGTTCAATCCAAATGCTTATACTCAAATTAATTGTATACTCATTAAAAGAGAACTAAAAGAGTAAAAAGATCAACGAAAAATTGATGGATCTATATTTTTTCTTCCTTACTAATTGTATTTTACTGATTAGTATTAATATGTAATATTACTATATAATACTAAAAAAATCCTTGCAAAAAAAAATACTTAAAAAAACTAAAAAACTGAGGCCCCATAAATTCGGGGGCTCTGTTCTGGATAACGTATTAACCTCCCTAAAAACGGCACTGCTAATGCTAGTACTATCTAATCTTGTTTATTCAATATATTTAACCAACCACATCACAATTTATTATTCTTCATTTAATTCATTAATATTATTATAATGATTTTATAGTGATTATGTTATATAACTATTGTTTTTATGATTATTGCATACGTACACAATTTACAAGTTTATATAAAAATTTATTTTAGAACCACGATCATATATTTTTCTTTCACAATGTAAACATATGGTGTTAAGTACACAATTTTAAATATTTTAGCATTCATGAGGGTACAATTAACATTCTAAATAGAATGTTAATTGCACTCTTGTAAATGCCAAATATATTTAAATTATGTATTTAGAATCACATTTTATATTTGTGTAAGAAAAATCATATGTTAATGGTGGTAACATAATTTTTTATATAAAGTTCAAATATTATATAAGTTTGGAGTATTTAAATTATTTTTTTTCTTACCATTTCTGTAACCATATTTGTAATGTTGTAATATTAATATGACGTTCATGCATTCATATATTTATTATTCATTAGTTACATTATGTTATATTATCGTTTACTTGGAATAATATTATATTAGTGATTAATGTATTATATTGTTCAACATTTGTATTTGTACTAAATTTATACTACTTGTTATATTGTGATTATTGTAATATTATTATAACATTCATATATTAGTACATATATTGTTATAAACGATAATAATAGAATGATGCGGAGAACAATCAAGCATTCCAGTCCTGCTGGTTGTGAGTTTACCGTGCCTAGTGGGAGGTCTTGACTTCAAAACCCGCTAGACACACAACGGTTTAAAACTCAATGGAGTGAGTTTCAAACCTTATTACCCCAGCCCCCCTAACCCCCTCCCCCCAGACCCCCTGGAGTAAAAAAATGCGGAGAACTGATTACTACATTTATTTTCTCTACTTTTGCTATTGACGACATGTGCTATTGAGTAGTGTTTGGATTTATTTATTAAAACTACTTTTACTTTTAAAGAGAACAGAAGAAAATATGGGAGTTTTTAGATGAAAGTACAAAAATACTTCTAATGACTTCAAAATGCTGCTAGAAACAGTTTTCTAAAAATCGTGGGAAACCAAATTTTGAAAAATAATTATATTTCTTCTTCTAGAAAAGAAGCAGAACCATAATCAGTTACAAACATCATTGACTTATTCAAAATCCTCGCTCTAAACTTGTTAGCTAAATAGATATGAAACTTTTCAGATTATTATAGTTATTTCTATGAAGATTTTCCTAGGCATGAAGATAATAAATCCATAAATGCTAAAGTAATTTGATCTAATGTTAGTAATATACAGAGTATTTCATAATTTACTTAATGAATTTCATCCACAATATAATCATATAATACTACCCCATTTGAAAGGCATACTACCTCCGTACCGAATTGTTTTACAAAGTCAACATTTTTTGTCAATCAATAATAAAGTTAATTCTCCCTGTTTATAATTAAGTCAATTTTTAATAATTAAAAATTACATAATCAAAAACTAAATTAAATCTTTATAATGTTGAAAAATCCAAATTAAAATTTAATTAAGAATTAATTAAAGCATAATTAAGTGAATATAGTTGAAAAATCATTGAGCATGTTGCTTCGCACAAGCAAACACGAACACTGTATATCTCTCTTATTCAACTAAGGGTATGTTTGGGAGTTTGGAGGGAAGGGGAGGGGAAGGCTTTGGAGGTATGTTGTTGGAGGGGAAAGGGAGGTGAGGGTGAGGAAACCCTTCTTTGTATTTGGGAGTAATAAAATTGGAAGGAGAGGGTTTTTGAAAGAATTATAATTAAAATCACTTTGAGATATGACGAATTCAAATCATTGAGCTGATATTCATTTCTAATTTAGCTTAAATTATCATCTTGTTAATTATCCTCCAAAACCCTCCAAATTGGGGGAACTTAAAAATTAAGCATTTGGAGGGTTTTGAAGGGTTACAAAAGCCCTCCAAAACTACTCCTCCAATTTTTTAAACTCCCAAACATGAAAAGGAGGGTCATAAACCTTCATTGACCTTCCCCTCCCCTCCAAAATCCAACTCCCAAACACACCCTAAGTGTCCAATTTATCTAACAAACTCATATCAGAAAATCAGACCCATATCTCAGTATGGGCGTATGGCTGTATGGAGGTCCATGGGCTTTAATTAATTGGTAATCCTAAGCCGTAAATCAGCGGCCAGATTATGCTACCTTTCCCACACCGGAAGACAGTAGAACTAAAACAATGAATAAAAAGAGGAAGATGAGAAGAATGGTCACGACCTTACTTGAACAGGATCTGTTCTATAGGATCGTACCTCTGAATCCTTGAATTATCAAGAGACCAGAAACCATGCCTGGTTGATGACAGAAGGCCCGGAGGTTAGAGCGTGATTAACAGCTCTGGTTCAGCTATGGATCGAGCAGTAGATGATCGTTCTTGGTCGCATGCGGC